GGGATGAAGTGTACATATCTACTGCATCTTTATATACAGTCTACGTTACTGTGAAAAATATGCACCAATCTGCACAATACTTGGTTATTTTCAGAGTTGAAGTTTTTTTTCCCTCGGGCCATGTGGAAGGGACTGATTTGTGATTCAGCTCTAAGCCACCGTTAACATGTATAAAGAGTAACAGCTGCGTGCATGACTGAAATGTCATTATGCTAACATCCTGCCAGTTTCTGTGCCAGAACACCTCTTCAAATTCCCGAGAGCGTCTGTTGGCACAGTTGCTTTGGTTTCGGGTACGACTGCGCCCACGTCTTTCATGTCCCGTTTTCGTGACTATCAGCGGATGCTGATTAACCTCATCTTTTCTGCCAAATGTCCTGGAAGAAGGTGAAAAAGCAAAGGCCCCGTCTTAGCTGCAGTGCAGAGTCGGTACGTTCTACCCAGCCCTGCTTCTCCAGGCTCTGTTTCTGGGTCACACAGTCGATGGTGCTCACAAACAATTCATTCTGCTCCAGTTTGAGAGTCAACCAAAGAGAAGGAGATCACTACGAGCCTGAGTGCCCACACAGAGCCAACTTCACTTTTGATTATGGACCCACTAATGGTTTCACTTTGAACCAGCTTGCGCTCTAAGACTCAGGCTGCAGAGTTCACACAGAATAACAGTGTTCAGCTTCTCTCATTGCCCCCGACTGGGTTTGTGCCATGGATGCATTTTTATGAGGAAACAGGAAGGCGTGTCAGCCCTGATACTTTCTTTCTATCCTACTTTCTTTTGATACCACTTTGAGTTTTCAGTCCTCTGACTTAATGAATCCTCACATTTTATTACCATCAAGTAAATGATATGTTAATCTGCAACAAGGGTGCAGATCTGATAGTGAGAATTAAAAGCATAGATCTTTAAATTCCATTGTGAACATATGAGACTTTAAACTGTTAATGACTTCAATGTGAACCTGTTCCATCCTGATACTTTCCTCAGTATTTCATCTGATTTATGTTTAACCAATGGTCAGTGATGTGGTGCAACATAAACTGCGTCCCTACGTCAGGTACTTTCCCCAGGAACCAGGAACCTTTGCAGGATCTTAAGTTACAGGGAAATATTTTTGCTTGCAGCACTGAAGATGTCTGATTGGTCGAGTACTCCCGCATTTTATTTCAGCTGGTTAATCCTTATAAAATCTGTTTTCTTACTTTACGTGGAGCTTTGGTGATTGCTGTCTTTATATAGCGTCATCCTTGTTGTATTGTCTTCTGCATTACAGCCCCCTGGTGGACTGGAATGGAGCAGATTGTTTATATATCATCAGGCTGATTCTCCACTGGTTTTTAGATCATGGTGCAAACACAGGCAGCGACGGTCTGAATCATTTAGTTTCCTGAAAAAAGTTCCTGGACTTAAAGTTCCAGGAACTTTTGTTGAAAAACGGCGACACAGGCTAACTGTGGATTGAATAGGTTTTGTACGAAAGTAGAAAGTCAGTCTCCATGTTTCTGACCAACGTCATGGATTCAGTTGAGTTTCACATGTTACTCACATAGGTTCTCTTGAGCAGGGCTCTTAACCCCCAACTGCTTCTGTGACGCCAACAGATCGGATCAGACTCAGGTTGATTGGACAGTTTTCAGATGTGAGTGTATGTAACTGTGAATCGGGCCCTGATGAAGAAGACAAAAGTCTATGATAGCTGGTTGAGATGCCGTCATGGTAACGAGACGTTAAAGGCGTAATTCAGCTTTATGTTGTTCTCCTGCAGCCGCACTCATCAGTTTTCTGGAATAATAAAAGACCAAACAGATGAAGCTCTGTATCCTGACTAAGCTGCTCCTCCAGACGGACACACGTTCTTGTCAGCTGCTATTTATCAAATTCGATTGGCTCTTAATGGCTTCTCATCTAAAACCGCCTGCAGTAATTAGAAGAGACAGAAATATGTAAAAACGAATCCAATTCTTTATTAGTCGTCATCTGGATAATGCGGATGCGTTTATCTATGCAGGGATGATGCTGCTCTTTCTGTGCTCCATTCATTTCCCCCCCCATTCCACTGAATCTCATTGAGAGGGGGGGAAATATCTCTCTCCCCCTCGCCACGCTTGCACAGCGCATGTCCGGGAGGAGAGAGGGATGAATGTAATGGTGCTATTTATAGTAACTGTTGCCGTTTAAAAAAAGCCCTTCTCCATCTCCAAGCCCCTCATTCACCCACCACTCCTCACAGCTGTCCCTCCTCTCTGTGCCGCGCACTTCCCTAAACCCTCCCCTCATCCCCTCATCCCCTCATCCATCTATCCCTCTATCTCTTTAGTCTGTTTGTACCGTTGTTCAATGCTCTTAGCAGAAGATGCATAATTCATTTCTCCTCCAGAGTGGTCGCACACTGAATTGAGTTGGAGCGAAGAGGAGGAGGAAGGAGTGACCTGGGAGGGGAGGAGAGAGGAATAAAGAGGCAGTGAGAGCGAGCAATGCTTCGTGCTACGCATCTCAAGTCGGCTTTGTGTTTTCTGTCCGTGGTTCACATCACGGCCTCTTTGGGATCAGATCTGCGATACGTCTCCAGTCAAACCTCTCAGTCACCTTGTTATTCTGCTAAACGCTGTTTTGACTTTTGATCTTTTAGGGTTTGATGTTTCCTTCATGAAGTAATTTCACCTTTTAAAGAAAAGTGCACAAGCTGTGATGAAGCTTTAGTTTTACGAACACTGTGTCTCCACAATAACCAGTGACAGCGAAAAGAGGTGGATTTTAAAATTACGGCTGAAGCATTTGCAGGTCTGAGAAGAACGAGTGATTCAGTGTCTGTTCACTGAATCATATCGAGGTTCATGGGTGCAAAGCAAACCCTTGTTGGTTCTTCCTGTTGTTGCTGTTTCACTTTGTTGTGAACCGTGTCACACTCGTTGTAATGACTCAGACACAGTGGCCTGGAATAAGCCCATAATTGGCTCCTTTCCTGTGTCTGCAGTTTGTCAAATTTATGGCTGACATATTTTTAAACCACGGCCAATTTGGAACGAGGTTGTTCCACGAGGAACATCGGGGACATTCAAATATTTATTTACAGTAGACATTTGATTAATTCCCTGAGACACCATGCCGTCTAACGTCTTTAATTCACTGTGTATAGTACTTTGATCATTTATGTCGACCATGTTTGATCTTGTTTATGTCATAGTCTGTTTATAAAGATGGGACACTGATGTTTGTCCAATACAGTTCAGCTCGGGCCACAATCTTCTGATGTTTTCCTCGATTACAGATGTGCAACAGGAAAAATCACAGCCCAGCTGAAACGTGACTGAACCCGACCTAAATAAGATTTCAAACATCTTGGGTCAGGTCATGATTGACAGCTGAGACTGACTCACGATTGGTCAAGCGCGTGTATCGGCGGCTCCACCCCCCTGATCGTAGACTCTGAGCTCATATCCATTGCGACTCGATTTCTGGATAGTGGGAGGAAGTGGAGAGGCATCGTCCATCTTTATTTACAATCCATGATTTATATGTTGATGTGCAGATCTTCTCTCAACTGCATTTTCAAGACTTATCCTGCAGCTGCAGTAAAAACCAAAACAGCCTTCAGGTGTGATGGGAAAAAGTCCTCTTCTCACTTTTCCACAGAAACGAGGCGGCTGTGTTTGTTTTTTGAGTAGACAGATTCCAGGATGATGCGTGATGACAAATGGCCGATATCAGCGACGCCTCCCGAATCGCTGCTGCCTGTCGCCTGCATCACTGCCTGACGAGACCGAAATAGAGCCTCAAACCTAAAACCAACCTCAAAATAATCCCTAATGGAGGAAATGACACAGTACTAGGAGAAAAGTTTAGAAGAAGTCACAAAGCTTTCTTCTGCAAATGTGAATCTTTCCTCTTTTTGTCTCCTCAACATTACATTTTGTATAAAGCGTCCAAACATAATCACACACAGGTACAAGATGACGTGATTCAGCTGATTTAAGTCACAACATCATTTTCAAAAGTTGTTTGAGCTTTTCGAAGAAAACCATTTTAACAGGCTGATATAAGACGTAACCTGCTGCTGTCGTTGACATTTGCACAGTCTGGACTTGAGATGCTGTATGTCTGATATCGACGTGAGCTGTGTCCTGATTCCATACTGCATATACGGAATCTGGCTTGTGAATAAATCATTTGTTGATACCAGAAAAGTGAGAAAATACTCTGATGGTTGTGTGAATACATAATTCACAGATTTCTCACATATCTCTGACAGCACATTCTTTGAGGAGAAAACACACACACACACACACACACACACACACACACACACACACACACACACACACCTTTTTCTTTGACAGAGCATGCAATATAACTTTTGCTCTTTGACAATGTTAAATTCAAGCTTTGGTGACACTGTCTATCTAAGGTTTTGCAAACAGAATGAGTTAATTTCTCATCACACAGTTTAAAGTTGAACGATAATTTGCTGGTTTCATTTGACAAATACAAACATATTGAGTTTTTTATATTATCTGGAAAAACCACATGAAACTCTCTCTGGAATTTGTGTCGTTTTGAATCCAGACGTAGCTTCAATGGGAAATCAGCAATCATTTCTCTGTATTTGCTGCCATCTAGTGAAAATCTAGCTGTATAGCATCCAGAGTGGAGAATTTCATCAGTACAGTAATTATAAATTGGAATGAATAATCAATCCTTTAAAAATATATATGTGAAACCATTAAACATATTATCATATAAGCCAAAGTACTGACAAACATTTATATTTATCATTTCTACAGTAAAATACGACTTCAAAACATTACCTACAACCTAATTTACCAGTTTTTAAATGTAAAATTAAAGTAATATATATACATATATATATATATATAACATATTAAAGGTATACTTACTCAGCCCTGATTTATTCATACTATCATGAAAAATACTTGCATGTACTTTTGTACTCTTATCCTTTGCTCATCCAGTTATTTATGTTTTCGCCATTTTACTTACACAGCTGTTCACTGCAACCTGAGCCAGAATGGCATCGACCACCAGATGTGCCCGGAGGACGTGACGTCCCAGCTGGAGGGAGAGGAGGAGTCCGTGGACGCGGGGGCTGTGCTGCTGGACGACGACAGCCCGAGCTACCATGATGTCAGCCCGCCCATGTACCAGCGCCGCTCCCCGCCACACCGCTCGGTCTCCGAGTCCGAGCTGACGCGGGTAAGAGCTCCTGACTCAGTTAAAGTGCTGGAAATAAAGTGCTGGTCACACTCATCACAAATTATTAAACAGCTCTGGAGGGAAAATCAACACTTCCAGTGTGAAATGTTGTGTACATGTGGGTTTGTAAGGAAATTATATCAAGTGTTTGAAGTTACACTTCCTTTCTAATCCACTTCAATTAAGATTATGTAATTTAGTTGTCTAAATGAAGTAACAATCTTTTAGACAGTCATTGGTATCTAGTCTAAAGCATAAATCCTCTTTTGGCCACTCGGGGGCAGCAGAACTAGCTCTAGCAAAAACATTGTCAAGGTGATAATAAAGTTGTTCTGCTCAAAATAATTTAACAATATGTTGCTTATTTTCACATTCAGCAGCAAAGTGAGCATCTAATTTGAGAGAATTTATTCACTCCTGACTTCTGGTTCTGGCTCTAGAAGATGAATACGATGACAATGACTTGGTCACTAAGTTTGTCTGTTGTGGTTGGGTCGTGTATAATGAGTGTATTAGGATTTGCGAGGGTAAACTAGAGTATGTGGTTGTTGTTTGAAGCTGAAAGAAAAAAATAAATTGAAATACTTTGGTTTTGGACCATCGCCTGTATAAACTCCTCCAGTCCAACAGGGTTTATCATGTTAATATGCTCAACTGGGACAGTTGACATTGACCTGTTTGCACCGGTCGTTGTTCTGACACAAAAGAAATAATATAATACGATAATAATAAATTCAATAATCCCACAGTTTCAACCTCTTCAGTTCAAACAAAGACTCCAACAGGGAATAAACAATAAAACACGAGATGTTGATTCTGTAACTCAACTCTGCCTCAGTGTTTCTGATAATTGATCAAACAGCTCATCAGCATCACAGAATACATTTCTCACTTCATATACAGAAATAGACTGTGGACAGTGGGAGGAGAATAGGACTGACACACACACACACACACTTAAAGACAGTGTAGATGCTCTGGATTGCACCTCTACATTAGTTTGTGGTAATTCAGAGCTGACAAGTATCTGCTGTGGTTTCTTTGAGCATCGTGATGTAACTTCATATCTCAGCATTATTCTCTTTGAAGCAGACGCTCCGTCTGAATTGCATTAGAGAACTGGAGGAAGTAGTGTATTAGCAGCAGGAGCCTCAGTGTCAGTGTTGTGTGTCTGCGTTGCACTTAAGAGAGAGACTTTCTCTTTGAGACAAATTCAATGGATCAAGTGCATGAAGACTATAATTGTATAAAACTGTAATCCTTTCCATTATGCAGCCTCGGGCCAGATAGAATTTATTAATGCTTGAGCTTAATAAAGTGCTCAGTGAGATGTTTTGCTTTTAAATGTTGAAGTCACAGAAATGGCAGTTTTTCCTCTAACGTCAGTGATGTGACACTAAATCAAGTTGAAAGTGAAAATGTGAGCTGGAATTGAAATAAAGTTCCTGATTTGATTTGAAGATGCACTTGACCAAGCACGAGTCAGTCTGAGGTGTCAATCATGACATTTGTCCCTGTTCTTATAGCATGGCTTCACTATCTTGATCAGAATACTCGGGCTACTGCAGTACTTAATTTTTTTACTTTGAGAAATATGAGCATCTTGTTTTACAGATGCAGGGTCCGTTAATGTTCTCCATGTAGATGCTGCTCTCATGTCAGCTCCTCAGTAAACATGATTTAAAGTCTCATTGTTATGCTGAAGGCACAGTTACAGATTTGTCCACAAATCCTCGTAGCTTATTGATCGCTCAGCTTATTGATTCTCTCTCATGTTGCCCAGTCCTGTTTATTCCAATTAAGTTAATTTCAAAGATTAACTTAATTACACAGGGTTGCACCACATGCCTTTGTTTGTTTCACATGTACATTTCTGTATATTATAATAATGCATCCCCTTCATTTGGTCCAAAATGCTAATGCTGTAGAATTCTTACTGGTTTTAAGAAAACTTGACCACATCATTAATTCTGGCCTCGCTTTCTGTTTTCATATTGATTTTAAGATTTTACTTTTAACTTTTAAGGCTTCACACAACTAAGATTTTACCAACAATCTAACCCTTTGAGCCTGAACGCCAACATCCAAACATTGTACTGTATATACAATAAATACTATTTAAACATTATATATAACAAAGAATCTATATTTTAAGTCTGTAACTTTATTTATAAATAAAGCAAATTATTATCATATCATTATTATATTTTTCTACAAAACGGCAGATATAAAATATTAAAATTGGCAAAATTGTAAATCAAAGCATGAGTTGTCCAATCAAGTACGAGCGGAACGTAAAAACTCTTCACACCCACAAACCTTTAAGGATTGATCACAATCCCTGGTGGGAACAACTTTGTGTCAGAATTGCTGACTACGACAAAGACAAAGATTTGATTTTCATGTTGAGCATAATTTTAATGATCCCTAAATTAGCTCTTAATAAATGTGGAGCTGTAATAAATCCAGGCCTCAGTGCCAACCACACTTCAGGGCACTTCAGTTCATCACATCAGCAGTTAGTGTTCATTTTCAAATCTTGGATTAAAGCTGACTCCTGCGCTCGGATGGATTTGTAATCAAGCTGAGGTTCAGCCATTTATTAAACATGAGGCATAAAGCAGCCTTTTAGACTCAGTGGACGACCGTAACATCCATAACGAATCAGCTCATCTCCGCCATAATCAATATCAAGCCCAAGGTGAATATATTTCGTTTGGGGTTCACAGTCCCGCCGATGCTTTATGGACCCCGTCGGATCCCAAGGTCGCGGCCTGTGAAGAGGTCTTGTGTACTTCTTTTGATGTGCCCGAGGAAAGTTAGTGCTGCCTGTAAATCAAATTTCAAACAGACGCTCTCTATGAAGGCTTATTAATTCGACCGGTGTAGTGTGCTATTCCCTGTCAGCCGTCCACAGCTCTGCGGACTCCTCTCTGCCCCGCCCACACACACATACATACACACACATGGACATATCTCGTTTCATCCCTGTTCCTGTATGTAACGGATTAATTAATACGGGGAATTTTCATCTCCTGCCAGCTCCGGCCAAGAGAAATAGAGCAAGGCCGGGGGAGAAGAAAGTGAGAGAGGGCATGCCAGAGCTGTTAATTAGCTGAGCGGTGGAGACAGGGCGGACGACACTGGGCTCCGTGTCTCAAACAGCCATTCACTCAGTCAACATGACACTAATGGCGGTGGCCCCTGCTCCTCTCAACGCTCCTCTGCCCGGTCACGTTCACACAGGGGCCGCAGTGTGTGGCTGTGACACTAGAGGGTGGTGTGTAACAGAGAATGATAACTGTGTAATGTAAGCAGCTTCAATATATTAGCACGGTCTAATGCAACCGCTCAGTTCCTCTGCTGCTCTTTAATATTTATAGAATAAATGGGGGGAAAGGTAACGAGAGTCTGAATTCAATTTCTATGCAACACTTTAAATTTCCTTTTACTTTAGCCCCCCCTTGTTTAGCATTCATAAGCAGTATACACTCGGAGGCCAGTTTATTAGGTACAGCTTGTTAAAAAGTAATGCAGTCTTGTTAAAATGTTTTTTATGGAGATGTTGGTTCAACTGTATGATTGTTTGAAAGGCTGCAGTTTGTGATGCTCTTTTAAATGCATGGCTGAGAGGTGGAAGTCCACCCTCACTGATTTAAAAGGAGTTGACACAAATAGGGGGTCGGTGATACGGCCAAAATTCAAATCAAGATCATTTTCTACTTTTAAACACTGATTTTTGCTCGTGAGTGGAAGTTGGTGATTTAAACTCTTCTTTATTACAAACAATTGATAGAGAGCAAAGCACTTTTTAAATCTGAGGTAATATATATCATAGCATCTAATCACAGATGCTTTTTACAATTATTTTATTATAATGTCTTAAAAACAAACCAAATGTGTCTGTATTTTATTAGCTCCACTGAAAGAAAACTAATGCAGCCTCATACAACAGGACTTGTGTTTCAATTATTGTGTCCTGAAGCTGGGTGATGAAACAATACCAATAATTTATTGCAATAGAATTTTTATCAAGGTGTTGCGCTGGTTAGCAATGTTTCCTCACAATAAGAAGGTTCCTGTTTTGAATCCTCCTCATACATATATATATATATATATATATATAAATTATATTGCACTCAATTATTGGTATTGTTTCATCACCCAGCCTCAGGACAGAATAATTGAAACACAAGTCCTGTTGTATGAGGCTGCATTAGTTTTCTTTCAGTGGAGCTAATAAAATACAGAGACATTTGGTTTGTTTTTAAGACATTATAATAAAATAATTGTAAAAAGCATCTGTGATTAGATGCTGTCATATAATGTCCTGCACGATAGCATGTGAACATTTCATGGATGATAACATCATCAAGTGTAAACACTCATAGAACTTCTAATTGTTGAAAATACTGAACATGAACAGAAACATAAGGGCGTCCGTACGTCAGCTGTTAACTGGTTATACCTTCTTTATGATAATGTGTTGTTTGTTCTCTCCTCCACCAACTTAACTCCATGTTTATCACTGTAACCATGGCGACAGAGTGCTGAATCCGAGAGTGAAGACAAACCACATAGTCAGAACAGGATGGGCAGTTTCTTTGTTTGCTGATGAAAAGACGATGAGAAGGGATTTTTATTTTGTTTTAAATTTCCTTGTATTTGCATGGATGTGTTTTAAAATGCACCTCGTGTTTGAACCAACCTCTTTTTCTCAAGCGAGCAAAACATATTGCATCATGTGACAGACGGGTGTTTGTTGTTTTCAGCAGTTTCCTTTTTTAATGACTGACTGTTAAAACATTTAGTGTGTGAATGTCAACTCTCGGTTTTACCTCGGGACTCTCCTGTGCTTGTTGTTAAGAAGAATAATCCGACATGGACAGAGGGAGGAAAACGAGACATTCTGAGAAAAGAGAGAAGAAAGAAAATCGATCAGATTCAAACACTGGGCACGGACGATACAACATTTTTGAATTTACAGAAAAACAAAGAGAAAAGTTTGTGGTGAGAGACGTCAAACATTGTGAGGAAAGAAAAAAACCCAAAACATTCACAGAGAAGACAACACAAAAGTCCCTGAAGCCTGTATTCTCTCGAGCGGTCAGCAGAGGGCGACTCCACTTGTTTTTCCATAAAAGTCAATGAGAAAATGACTCCTACTCTTTAGTCGATAAAGCACCGTGTGCAATGGGGGCATTGATACTGTGTGATTGACAGCTGGTTCATTCCATTGGGTGAAGTTCGTGAAGTACCCTCGACCTCCAATCAGGCTCCACCCCTACTCCTCCAAATATGGTTACTTCTGTTTAAAAAAAAAAAACAACGCTTCAAAAGGACAGCTCGCTAACCACTTGGTGACATCACAGTGGGTTGTTTGAAGAAGCAGGAAGGAAGAGTCTGTGCCACAAAGCATCAGCTGAAGGACAGATTGGAGTTTGCAATAAAGAGTTTCTGGAACAAAGTTTATTGGATTGATGAGACCAAGATGAACCTTCAACCAAAGTGTCATGGCCGCCACCTGAACAGGCTCACTAATCTTTTTCACCTCCGCCAGTGAGGTTGTGTTTTTGTCTGTTTGTCTGCAGCATTACTCAAAAACTGCCAGAAGGATTAAGGGACTGAATACGTGCCATTTGCTGCAGTGTGATTAAATTTGGCCTTGGCGATTGTAAAAGCTCAACTGTGCCTTTCTAGTTTTTTGAAATGCAAACAGTAAAAAGGACTTTTTAGTCTCGTCAATAACTGGACGTACACAAAAGAAAGCAGCATCTCACTTTTCAAAAATCTTAAAAGCGAAGTTCAAAAACTCCAGTTTACTAACTTGATTGTCTCATAAAATATAGATTACACCTTTAGCTTCTTTGAAATAACATTGTTAACTCCGATCTTACCCCGATGTTTTTGATGCACTCTGCAGAGCGACATGTCGACTGGTTGTTTTTCTCGAGCTGAAGAAAAGAAATGGGATTTTATTGTTTTTGAACGCAGCTGCGTTCGAGAACATCATTGCTCCTAATGAAGGCGGCTCCGCGGCTGTAATGTTTTCTGCACTGACGCTACAGCTCAAAGGAACGATTGAATTTTATGTTGTTTTTTTTGTTTCTTGTTTGCATTCTCACACTAAATGAACTCTGCCCACTTCTTTTGTCTTGGGAAATATCCAAGGTTGAGGTTAAGTTTTGGTTATTCCCAAAACTCTGAAAAACTATGGAGTGTTTGCAGCCGTTGAAAATCTAAACACGGTGAATAATTGACAAAAAGTCTGCTGCTTTAGTTAACGTTTTTAATTGAGTGTAAAAAGCCGTTTGACCCGACAATCAGCTCCAACGATCTCCGAGCCAAAATGAAAACCACGACCCGGCGGGGGGGGGTGGTGGTGGTGTTGTACTTCTCCTTAGAAACGACTGCTGCTGCACACAGCTCCGCCTGCCAAGTTCACACACTCTGACACATGGTGTTTGTCTCTCTGACGCTTTCCAGTGCTTTTCACTCCCAGCTCCTCTTTTTTTTGTATTCCAGCACCAGCGTTATTGCCTCTTGATTAATTCAGCCGAGTACATTCATATTGGATCTTTAAGCGCTTATCAGTATAAGAACGATTACATGCCTCATTATGTATGTAATAGTTTTCCACTGTGGTCGTTAATGTGTTGGATGTTTATTTCAGACTCTGGTGCGTGTTGCTGTCGTCCGTGCGCCCCCTCCCCACCCCCTAAGGCTTCATTCTTTGTCTTTAATTTTTTGAGGTTGTCCTTGCTCGGTTGCCAAGGTAACGTTGAGAATACGGCGAGCTGTACGGGGCTTTCAGATATCAATTAAAGCCAAGGACAACGCCGCACACATGTTGGCTCATGTGGAAAATGATTTGTTTGTGTGTGGCCGTGTGTGTGTGTGTGTGCATTGCATTCATGCAGTGTAGGTGCTTGAGTGCCTGGGCTGCACATGTGGCCGTGTGGCCGTGTGTGTGTGTGAGCCTGCTCCCAGATGTATTCCACTTAGAAATAAAGGAGGCTTCTTCTCTCACCCCGCCGCTGTCACTCAAATCTCTAATTGGCCCGGAGTATATCTGGAACGCAGCTCTTTGAGCAGGATTGTTCTCCCGTTTCCTCCCCTCTGCTGTTTTCTCTCCACCCTCTCTGGCTCCGCAGCCAGGCAGGAAGGCACCAGATCACCTATTGCACCAGGAACACAGCTACAGGCTAATTCAGCGCAGAATGTAAAACACAGACGTCCATTGACTCACAAATGTGGTTTGTGGAAAATTAGAGAGTCTCTCGTGTCAAACTCTGCTGCCTCCACTCTTGGAGCTGTATTTTTTGATTCCTCCACCTCATCTGTCAGTCGCGCCATCATTCACACTCACCTCTCTGCAGCAGACACTCCTCTCGCCCTCCTCTCCCTCCCTCAGTTCCTGCACTCTTTCCCTTCCCTGGCCCTCACTCTCTCTTTTGTCGCCTCGGGCTCCTAGTCGGGGTTAATTAGCATTGAGTGGAGCTGTGTTTAATGGTTAATGTGGTCTCTTCCTGTGATACCGCTCCCACCGCTCCTTGCAGATTCAGCATCTATCTGCACAGGCTGCCAAGCAATCACATTAAGACCGGTGGCCTCGCCTCGCCTCGCCTGCTAGCTTTGGCTGTCTGTCACTTCGCCTACCTGCAGGGGACTCTAGACCATATGCCCAAACAAGCATGTACGTCTCCCACAGTTTCTCATTCTCACTAGAATGCTGGATATAGAGTGAGTGGGAAGGAGTCACAGAGAAGGAGGGAGTGAGGTAGTACCTTTATAATAAGAAACAGGTGAGATGTATAGAGAGAGTGTGAGATGAAAGTTACAATATGTTGGGGGGAGGGAGGGAGAAAGACAATGTGATAGATCTTTCAGGGACAGGGGAAGATTGAATATGGGCGAGAGTTGTGTGATGGGGTGAGGAGCAATGAGGCAGAGCAGAGGAAACGCTGCCGTGTACCTGATACTGCAAGAGGAGAGCAGCGATTCCATTGCTATGCCACGCCACACTGCAGCGGGAGAGCAGGCTGAAGTGGAGGGGGGGTGTGGATGTGAAATTTTAATCACCTCTCTCTCTCTGTGTGTGTTTGTAATTTTAGTCGCCCCTCAATCAAAATCAAAAGCGTTACCAGCACTTTCAAGAGCGACCCTTTGGCAGGCGGCTGCTCAGCGACCTGCTGTCCAAGTGTTTAAACTGGAACGGCATCTTGCAACCGGAGAGCAGAGCAGTACAGATGTGTATATGTACTATGTGTATATACTTTATGTATGTACAGTTAGATACTAACAGAACCATATTTTTCTAACCCCCGGTGGCCGAGCAATTCTTGGATCATTGTATAAGCGTCTATCATTGACTGTGTATAAAGAAATAAAGCCCAAGATATCCTGCATATGCATTTGGAGCCACAGTCAAAGTTCGACCAATCACGAGTCTCTCTCACCTGTCAATCATGAGGTTTTACCTTGTGTTTATAGCATCAAATAAGTAAAAACCAACACAAACATCAGTGTGACTTTTTGTTTGGTGCATATCCTATAACTAACATGGAGGAGGCAGGGTTTATTTTAGTTGTCCCCCGACTCTTCATCTTGTGCCACCACGAGGTTGAAATCTGTAGTTTTGAGGGACTCTCTCTCTCTATTCTCTTTTTGCATCTTCTATCATCGTCAAAGTTTTGCAAAGACGTCATTTCAGGTTTTCATGTTTTGTTGATCTAGGAATTAAATTATTGCAAAACAACATCAGTTGGTGTTGGTTCTGAGAAATCTGCCAATTACAGGATTACGCTGCAACAGGAAGACCTCGCTGATGCACTTCTCAGGCCTTAAGGATGTTTACAATGTAATTTAGTGAGAAAAACAGAATGTAAACAACATCAGACTTATTTATATTTAAAGCTTCCCATGACACTTTAATGCCGGGAAGATTCTTTGCGGATTAAACCCTCATCGTCCAAACAAACTTAAAAAACTGGGCCAAATCTACTCTTCCATCGCAACAAACATATTGTTCACATCTTCTGAGCCGCCTGACCCGGCTCATTTTCTTCTTCTCTACTTTTTTCTTTGGTTTAAAAGTCTTTGTCTTTCAATCGGTAGTTTTGAGAACATGCCTTGTAAATAAGAAAATGGATCAAGGTTTAAATTTTACCTTTAACTACATGACGACCGATCAATTGATCCGTACAAGAGCAGCATATTGTCTCTTTATTGACTGTCCTGGAGTTATTATCATTAACACACAACTGAGATTAAAACTTTATTGATCCTGGAGAGTAAATGTCGCACAGCAGCAAGTAAATATTATATACAACAAATCTGATGGAAGCCCAAGCCCCATAAAGGTGTCACATGGTTTCACTATGGCCAATCAGTGGAAAAGACATGTTAACTGGCAGCTTCTCAGTCAGTTAAAAAAACATTTTGTAAATCGCGTTGTTTGTCTGTTTTACAGCCGGGGTACGTGAAGCTGTCCAAGCCCGTTGCCCTGTGGACCCAACAGGACGTGTGCAAATGGCTGAAGAAACATTGTCCCAATCAGCACCAGATCTACAGCGACTCCTTCAAACAACACGACATCACAGGTACGTCTCGGCTCCGGCACGTAACTGCAGCTGTACACCGGGTGTCGAGGAGGATTAGCATCATGTGCTGTAGAACTTTTGGATTTACGAAACAACCGGAGCTGCAGTGATGCAACCTGACACAAAATGACATTACAGTAGCTGCTGATTAGGAGTGACTGTCAGCCCCCCAGAGAGAAATGTCTATAAAATGTCAGAGTGAGGATACACCTCTAAAATTATATAAAAAAAATATAAATGTCTCAGGATGAGAAAGAAGGAGCCGTGGACATGGAAGATGACTGTCTGATTCTGAAAGCAGCTTGAGGTTCAGTATCTACGTCTTAATCAGGTTCTGTAATTTCCTTTTCCCACGAGTTTAGAAAAATTCACAACTTTCGCAGCCATATTTTTTCCGGAGTAAAAAAATAGATCATCTCCTTCATCCAGCTCAACCATTTATTCTCATCTTGATCTCATTCGTAACATCCCAGGTGCACTCTGCTCCCACCGCCACCTGCAGTCCTGCCACCCGGCCTTCCCGTCTGTCCATCCCCTCCCACTGTCGGCATTACCACTTGCAACAGTCGCCACGTCAATCACTCCCCTAACGAGGCTCCTCAAGGTCACCTCGACACTGCTTTCCGCATAGCAACAGACGACCATTAATTGCCGTGCACTCAGTCTCTCAGTGCACGACTGATCGTATTAATATGTTTATTTGTCGCTGTCGAGGACCTCCTCGACTCACTGACTGGCTGGTGGGATAAATCTCTCGGCGGTCATGACGAGTGGCGTAATGACTCGCGCTCCCGTTTTACCCTTTGATGCATTTCGACTGTTATACGTTTGCGAGGCGGGTTTGGAGATTTAACATCGTCTGTTTAATGGTGTGAAAATATGAATCTCGCTGCTCTGCAGTTCAACTCGGACATATTACTCATCTGCAGCATCGGGTCCAGAAGATAATCCACAGTTCATTGCATGTTTGGTGAACCTCTGCTCCACTGTGGATGTGTTTTCAAGTAGAGGCACTTCGGGAAAGTTTTATTTAGTTTTTCTTCTCATTTGAGTTGCAGTGCAAGTTTTTGTTTCTTTGGCTTTTATATTAAAAATAAATTGCTTGAGGGAATAATCTAGATTAAACATATTTTAGATTTTATGATGTCGTTAAACAGCGCGGGATCATAGGACTTGTTCCATAATCTCCTTGGATTGCTTGGTTCCCCAAGTGTTTGCACTTTACTGGGAGAGCAATGATAAAGAACAGAGGAAGGTAAAAACAGCTAAGTGACTAATTGGCTAAAAAGGTAATGTGGATACGATTCAATTAAAGGCAACCAAAATGAAACTTCCTGTTACGTTTAATAAAACTGTGGATTTCTCTGGGTTTGAACATTGTTAGAAACGTTTTGGAAAATGTTTTTAACAATGTTGATTTAGTTGTTTTTAAAAAACAATGATTAAGTTGTTACATATTATATCTTTAAAATACAAGCTAAGTATTCACAGAGGCCACGCACCGCTAACGAGTCTCCTCCTATTGTATCTGTGCAGAGTTTGTTATCTCATGAAAGAGAAATCATGTCAGGTGCAGTCATCCAGTCATTCCTGAGGTAGAATTTCTCAAGAGATTTACATCTAATTAACTCAAATGAATCTAACTTTAAGATTAAATCCCTCAGTGTTGCTGACAAGCCTAATGCATTCACTTAAAGTCTGTAAATAAATTATATTTTCTCTTATTAGTCTTTCTGTAATTAAAACATTAAAACTTGCCTTCCTAATGATGTATTAACTTAATGACCTGTGTTTGTTATTGAGTCGTAATGATTTTTACAGCGTCCTGCAGGAGAGGAAAGGGTTAACTAAATATGCATGCACATACTGTGCTTGCACATGCTTTCCTACTGGCACAATTAGTAGATAATAACATGCGCAAAAAAAACTGCAAGTAATTCAGTTTGTCTTCACATCGAGCGTTAATTAACAGAACCCAATTAAAAGAGGCCAAGCCACACCAATTTGGCTCACAAGGCAATTTGCATCCCAATCAATCTTAAATATTATGCAGATTTTTTTTCTGTTCCCGCGGCCTATTAGACTAAACAAGGGGGGAAACAAACGATGAATGGATTATTGTTGTGGAAAACAAGTGTGTAGACAAACAAACCAGGACGAATACATGCAGACGTGCATCTAAGAATATTTATTTGTGCAGCATGCTTATCATACACCAGCAGTGACCCTCGAACATCAGAAATGCATCCGTACCTTTGCGTCTACATATGTGTCTGATCTTTTGTTTCCTAGCATTGGACGTTCCAGACTTTGACGGCTTCGACTGTATTTTCTGTCCACAACAGACTCCTCAACCCTCTTTTCAGCTGCCAGCGGTGCTCAATCTCACTTGTCTTGGCAACGTAGTCATCCCTTCATAAAGTAGCAAATAGTCTCTATTCCAGATCGTAATTCAAACAGGCATTTGTGTCCTCCCTCCTCTGACATAAAACAGTGGCGAGGGGAAAAAGCGTTTTACTGCATATCAGGGAGAGCGCAACATTTTAACGTTGAATGACTTCAGTATGCAGCAGCTGCCTCCCTGCAAGGCCCCTGTAACCTCGGCCAAAGAAATCAATGTTTCTCATCCTCTCTGCTGCCAAGAAACCCTGTCCTCCTCTCAGTCCTCACCTCCCAACCCCAACAGAGTCTGCACCAAATTTCACTTCAACACTCAGTTGTCATTAAAAATGCATTAAAGCATATTAAGGCATAATAAGATATTAGTCCCTAATCTGTCGTAATTACAAGGACAAAGCTCTTTTTGGTAAGAGAACAGCTTTAAACTCCCACTTTCTGACACCTGAGATGTTATCGGCAAAAAAAGGTGCGATGATGTAGGTCGTCAAAAGCAGGAAGGTAGTAAAATGAAGAAAAGGGTGAGTCGTGATTAAGTTATACTTTCTGTCAGATAAGACCATTACATCACAGTGTTGAAATCCAGAGTCTCTGAAAACTCACAAAGGCAGAATTAGATGCAGCTGTAGAGTTTGGCTGCAGAGAAGTGAGGGGGGTTGAAGTTTGAATCTCTTTGTCTCCAGCTGGAGTTGTGTTGTGTTTCTTTGTGGCAGTCTGCGCCGCTTTAGGGATCTTCATCTGTCATTTGATTGACTTCACAACAAGTCAATATATCCGGAGGGGGGGCCCTGTGCCACCTCTGGCCACCCTTCGGCTTCGCCCCTGGCTGCCTCATTTGCAGATAGGTTTGATTAAAATAAACAGACGGCAGAGCAGTGTGAATTCAGCGCTTCCTGTTTCCCGTGACTGCATTCAGAAACACAGAGTAAACCAGGTTCTGCAGCTACATTAACAGATGTCTCGTGAAAGCCTCACATACGGATCATCTTTAGGAGCTCAAAAGACAGAAATAAGGTGTTTTAATATAACAATAACGTTGAAATCAAATGATTCTCTATAGGCAAGTGTTATTGTAGCTGTGTGAAAATAGATGTATGTGTAACGATGGAACTGGGACCGAAAACGTTTCTCCATCCACCAACTGTTTTCTCTCTCTCAGGAAAACTCAGACGAATGAATAACCGGCCTCATAATATCCACTGATGTATGGTGTCATAATGCCTTATCCTGAATAATTAATAGCCTGTAATATTAGCAGTTTAATGAAGAGTCTCCAGAAGCTCCCACTTTATCAATTCACTTCTTCTAAAGGTCTGTGTTCAACTCCCTCCGTCTCCGGATCCATCATCTCTCCACTTTAAAATAACGGCGGCCTGTGCAGCGACTGGACGTGATCTCCTCGTCCACTGGACGGTCTCACGCTGGGAACAAAATGTATATTTGATGAGCCGCAGAAAAGGGCGAAAGGTGACGGCTGTTATTTTCAAAACCAGACCAGGACAAAGAGAAACAGGCCTAAACAGTTCTTGAGTGATGAGGCAATGAATTCTGCAGGCACCAGACTGCTGTCATAAAATTGCTGCTGTGTAATAGAGGAAGAGGCGTCGGATAAACGAGACAAAGGGACTAACATGGCCTCGAATCAACTCTCGGGCCACTAAACGGCTCCGCTGGCGCCCATTGTTTTGTGTTAATTTCCAAAAGAGAAATTTGAGCAGCTCGATGGTGATGAGCTGTTCGGGGGACAATTTCATCCACAGACAGAGGGAATCGTGCTTAATGACGCCATTGGCAAGGTGATTATATAGCAATGTGTAATATAAAATTAACTACTGTTCTTCCAATTAGCTGTTTAAAAATGACGTCCTTGTTTTTTCCATGTGGAGAGTTTGGAAATTAATCTTCAGAGTGTGAAAGGCAGAGAGGGTAGAGCAGTTACACAAAGACGTAAAGTTGTGACTCTTTGTAAAGTAAACAAAGTCACAGCGTGGCGGCTGCAGGAGGCAGAGTGAGTCGTCCGCTAACCAGAAGGTCGCTGGTTCAATCCGCGGCTCCTCCATTCAGCTTGGACGAGACACGTTCTCAGCCCACGTCCCATCCTTCCTCTAACTTTCGTAAATATTTGTTTGGTAGTTTTTTTTGCTGACAAACCAACAAACAAGACAAGGCTGTTTTATTTGAGGTAGATTCAAGGTGCTGTGCAGGGACATAGAGTCAAAATTAAAAGAAATCAATTTAAAATCTGAAAGCAGAAAATTAAAACAATTTCCAAGCAAATTAAAAGAGACAAAAGGGTGGATGTACTTAATGAACCCAAACTGGGAAATTCTTGAACTCTTGAAAAAAAAAAAAAATCGACTTTTTTTTAATTCAGGTTAATTTATTAAAGACAATCCTCTCGTACAGTGTTGAACAGGTCTCACCAGTCTTTGACGACTTTATCACCAGCACCTACTAAGAAGGAAAAGCTCTGACCAGGCCGACCCTCAGTGAAGCCCATAGTCTTGTGTGCATATTATTTTTCTTTGCAGCTGCTTCTGTTTCCTTCTGCACGACTCTAATCTTTACAAATGACATTCAGAGCTCGAGCAGCATTGTTCGTC